GGAATTTGGTTTTACTCCTGCTGTTTGTGTAGGCCCTAGTGTTTGTTAAAGTGTTTGCTAAAACAGAGCTCTGTTTCCAAGGTAACAGCTACCTAACTTTATTACTAAAACTACACTAATTCAAACAGGGAGCTGAACAAACAGATTCATGTTAATTTCAAGCTCCATTAAAACACAAGGCAAAAAAAATCAATGTTCGCCAAATGGAAAAAGAAAAGAAATCAATAGAGAAATTTTATTTTCAGCCTTTTAAGTGGGGTTTTGTAAACAATAGGGGCTAAAAAAGTAAAGAGTGGTACACAGCATCCTTGCAAGCTGTGCTGTAAACAGGAGAACAAAAAGATTCAATGATAATGTAGGAATAATCACTAGGGCTGTAAAACCTTGAGAAACAGAGCCGCAGGAGTGGAATGACCTGTCTCACTCCACGTGCAGACAGGTCCCCTAACGTCTTGTCCAGTGCTGCCAGGCTGTGACTCGCGAGCAGTGACCAGAAGCCTCAGAGAAGAGCAAAGGTGTGATTCTGTCGTGTCCTACATGACTCTGAAGCAGTGTGGGCGACAGCAGCTGTGCCTGTGTTAAAGCCGGGGCTCTTAACGTTTGCTAGCAACCGACATACAAACGCTCCAGGGATCCTGGTTATATGTGGTTTGATTCCTAAGATATGCCAAAGCCCCCGCTGTCCCTGTTTTCCCCACCATGGTTGCCCTCGCCGGCAGCAGGTATACACTGGCACGTTGCTATGGGCAGCTCCTCAGAAGGCAGCAAGGCTTGGAGGGCACCGAGTGAGCTGTTTTAAAATCAGGCTTTTGGATGGTAACTCAGGCGTTGGCTCTTCATGCTTTACGTTGACATTTATCTGATCCCAGAAGCCCCAGTTTCTTTCCTTTCAAATGAAGGCTGTTTTGACAGGTCCGTGAGTTTTGAAGCTGTTAGAAAAAGATTTTCGCAAGCGGGCACAATGACTTTTCCCCTTCACTGGGCCATATCTTTTCCAATTCGCCACTGTTAATAAAGATTCTCTTTTCCAAAATCTGGATGGAGGATAAAGAGGTATATAGAGAGAATTTTTCTGAATTCTCCACACTAGTGTGTTCCCTAGACAAGATTTTGTTTTGTTGTTTAAAAGATTGAAAATAAGTGAACCTAACCTTGAAGTGCCTTAAAAGCAGATAGTGAGAGTTCCTGGTAGAAGTCAGTTGTTTGAGATCCAAATTATTTCATTATTTTCAACAACAGGATGTTTCATTCCTTTCTCTAGAGCATTAACTGAACGCTGTCAGTTTCCTTGAGCAGTGAAATTTTAGGTAGGTGTGTGATAGTAGATTTTACCTTCCTGACTAGAAAACAGTGAAGGTAATGTCACATTTCTTGCCCTTTGGGCAGAGCCCTACCGAGTTGTTCTGGTTCCAGCTGACACAGAGTTAATTTTCTTCCAGTAGCTGCTGTGTTTTTGATTTAGTGTCCATAACACACACATAGTGATTGCTAAGTGGTGCTTCTATTAAGGCAAGGCCTTTTCCAGCTTCCCATAGAAGCTGAGAGGGAGCATAGACAGGACAGCTGGCCAAAGGAATATTCCACACCGTAAAAGTCATGCTCAATGTATAAATGGGGGTTGGCTGGGGATCCGGGGATGGGATGGGATCTAGGATGGGCTGGACAATCAATTGTATTGCATCACTTATTTTTTATATTCTTTTACCATTAGCAGTACTAGTATTTTCTCTCCTCTTACTGTTCTCTTAAACTGTCTTTATCACAACCCACGGGTTTTTTTTTTTCCTTTTTCTCCCTCTTTTCCCTCCCCTGCTGGGGGTAGCAGAGAGTGAGTGAACGGCTGCGTTTCCCTAGTTGCTGGATAGGGTTAAACCACGATACATGTGAATAACGTGTGTTCTAACTTAATAGGGTTCTCCAAAAAAAAACAGGTAGGGCACAGAATATGTAGCCAGTGTTTATATCCCAAGTGTCTAGTTTTCAGTTTTTACTGTCTTTGGTAGCTGTAAAGAAAAAAAAATCTGAGAATGAGAAGATGAAAGGCAAAATCTGTTGGGCATACACTGATAAGGCCTATCTGGTAAAGAAACAGTGTAAACGGGACAAAAACAATCTACTGCATGGTATAGTTGTTTATTTGTTTTCCTCCTAAGGATAACTAATGATTGGAATGCTGTTCAGAATGCAATAAACACCGTCGCCAAATAAAACCTGAGTGCAACAGTCCTTTCAAAGAAGGGACTGATGACAACAGAAGTCCCTGGCAACGTTTGAGATGATTTTTGTCAGGACAGCTGGTTTCTCCTCTCATTAGTCTTTTGGAGAGGCACCCTCTATTAAAATGGCACGATACCCCTTTTCCTCCCCTCCTCTCCCCCTTCTCTAGCCACCTCACTAGTATTACATTGTTTGCCCTGTATTCTAAATGGTATTTACTTTAAATCGTCTTTGATTCAGTTGCTTCACCTTGGCATCCCATCAGCTGGCAAACAGAAGTAATGAAGTGAAGGGAACATAGTTAAGTTGGTATCTTAAATGCACACAAATCCCACATGCTGTGGCAACAACAAAATGAATAACAAACACACTGCATGAAAATCCTCTTAAGTTCCTTTTTTTTTTTTTTTTTTCAATTCCAGCCTTGCATACAACAGGAGGAACATCTTAAAAAATAATCCCATAATATTCCTGAACTAACAGCATTGGCATGAGGCACAGGATGGTCTTCTTGTGCTTCTCTGCATATCTCAGACAATCACAGCTGCTGCTAGTAAATTAATGGCTGCAAGGGGGTTGGGAGAGGGAGAAGGGGGAGAAAAAAGGGAAGCGGAGAGCCTGGTAGGTGGCCTTGTCTCCGCCAAAACTAAATATTTTCATTGGAGCTTTTTCCATTCAACAATTGGCAGCTTTACCCAGAGGCCTTAAACAGACAGAAAAATTCTTACTGTTGTAAGAGTGACTGCTAATGGGATGCAGCACTATCTGCTAACGTACATGAATGAATACCTATTTAATAATAGAATTGTTTTCTCCTAAGGTGCCTTTCTTCTTTCTTTCCTTTTAAATTCTTGCCTCCTGTGTCTGCCCGCTTCCCTTTGCCCTAGAAATTAAACCCTGGTACTTTCTTTATGCAAGATTTATGCTAGAAACGTTGGCTGGTATTTCATTGTCAGTCAGGGTGTGATTCTGCTGTGACATTTCCAGCTATATTTTTATGGCAGATGCAGTTAAACCGACATCAAGCATAAAAACAAACTTTTTTTTTTTTTTTCCCCTGGCAGAGTTCATTTACATCAGTGAACCAGACTAAAAGGTGCACTACCCAAAGCACTTTTGGCTTGTGTTACTTACGTCTGCCCTAGAGAGCTTTGCTAGGATGGATCTGGCTGGACTGCCAGTAGCTCAAATGGTGTGTCTGTGCCTGCATGTGTGCACGGAGGGTGGCTGGAGTGCAGAGCGAACAGTGGAAGGAAAAAAAGAGTTCAAGTGTGCCATTTATTATTATTATTATGGTGTTTGGGTGAAAAAAACCCAAAGTGCTGAAGTTTGGAGAAGAAAATAGCCGGGCGTCCTGACATGTTGAAGACCATCTGACTCGTGCTGTCTGTTGGATTCAGTGGAGGTGGCTGAAGAGGTTGCTGGCTTCTGCTTGCCCACCTCACCTCACCCAGAGCTTATTGCTGTCAGGAGCAGGACATGATAGAACAACCGACCTGGTTGTTCCTCAGCTTCCCCAGGGAACAACCTACCATATTAATTTGATTCAAAGGAGTTGTTCCCAACAAAGGCTTTATTCATAACAGTCCTGAAAAAGATCTGTTTTTCATTGTCAAAGCTTCCAGCCTGCTCTGGACTTTTCCAATTGGATTGGAAAGGTGGACAGAGCACGCAGGATGGGGACTATTAAGCTGGAAAGTGATTTGATAGCCACAGTCAGTACTTTAATCAGCAGGGACAGTTTTCCATGGCACTGAGGTCCTTATTGCTAATAATCAATGGGCAATGGCTCTTTTCCTCACCTACCTCCCGCCTTAATGAAAGCAGAGCCCACAAAATCAGTGGTGAAGGCACAGAGGAGGAAAGGAGAAAAAAAAAAAAACATAAGGAGATGCCAGGCAGGTCTTATGGCGGTGGGAGGGAGGGATCCTGGTGAGGCAGAGGGAGAAGAGTGAGGCATGGGGAGCCCCAGGATGCAGGAGCTGAGGAAGGTGCTGGAGCAAGGAGGGAATGGGAACTGTAATCAGTGAGCTCCCATAATTGTGAACCCATAAACTTGGCATGTAGAGTTGGAGTCCCTCATTTACTCCCTTCTTTTCCCCCTTCTCAGAGGTGGTGCTAGCAGTTCCGGACCGTCTAGCTGCAATGCCTTTTCCACTGGAAACTTTTCCCAGTTTCCTGGGAATGTCCTCTCTCTCTCCTTCTTCCTTCTCTGGCACGTAGTCTTTGCATTGTTAGATATCGATGCATTCTCATTCTGCAAGGCTTTCTGCCACTTGAATTTCTTTGGCCTTATATGTTGTTTTCTCTTCAGTGCTTGCTTTCAACCTCTCCGGACCCAGGGGGAGAGAAGGGGTGGGGGGAGACTGCTGTAAATTAGCCATCGAGTGTAAATCAGTGCAACTCCACTGCCTACAGTGAAGCTGCACTGAATTACTGTAGCTGAGAACCTGCTTTGTCGTGTCTCTCTCTTCTGTGTGTTTTCTATTGCCTGTTGTGAAAAAAAAAAAAAAAAAAAAACACCAAAAAAACCAACCAGAAAAACACTCCACCGAAACTCCAGTTCTTTCTGTTTTGCTCTCCTAAGAGGTGCAGCTGTATGCTAATACCCGACTTCTCTAGCGGGAAACAGAAAGGGCTGTAGCTTGCTTTGATAAACCAGGAAGCAGACTCTGACGCTAGTGTGCCAGGAGAGAAACATACGGAGCTTTTTTCCCCCCTTTTCTCTCCCTCGCATCAATTTCACACTCTTTTAGTTCTGTTGACCTCCATAGAGTCCCCTCCTAATTTACAGCGCCGTAAACAAAATTGGAACGATGCCCTCTGAAATGTGCAGAATTGTTTTCAGCTCGCACCGAAGAAGACTGCGTATTCCAGGGATTTGCAAAGGCATCTCGCTACTTGGTGAGTTTCTTGCATTACACACCTTCTCTCTTCTGCTGCTGCTCTTACTGGCCTGTTTTATTTGGCTGCATAAGAGAGGTGCAAACAGTGATGCAATCACATGGTGTGCTGCTTTGGAAGAATCCGGGGGACTCGGCTTCTGCCATATTTTCTTCTAAACAAACAGTTGGATATTGCATGGTCATGGTTGGAGCAACAGTCAGGCCCTCAACTATGCTGATACCCTGAGGGTGGCTTTGGAGTTGCTGTTTCTGCTGATTAATTTCACACCACAGGTGGACTGGAAGCACTTTATTTTGCCGTGTGCCTGTCTGTGCCTCGGTACATGTCCAAGGTGTGCCATTAATCAGCCCGACTATATGGGCTGTTCCATCTTATTGCTTAATTAAGACTCATCAGTAATTTACTTGAGATTAATACCTATTTATATGGAGCTGAAGTTTCATCTATTTGGGGGATGAGTTATTGAACTCCATTATGTGAAGTAAATCAATAAAATATTACTGGAAATGAGAATGACTCTCTCTCCCTTGCACTTCAGTCCTTTCGCCAAGCTCATAGACAAAACTCACTTAAGGGAGGCGTTCACGTTTACACTCAGCTTCCATCTTCCAGCTAGACATGATGTCCATTAATATCTCTGATCACCTTGCTCTCATTACCTGAATTGTACTGTGAAGTCAGGACCTGAGGGAGTGCTGCTAAGAGTAAGAGATGCTTTTAATCAGTTGCAGGGTAGTGGCCTTGTTATGATATGACCCAGAGCCCAGTCTTTCCAGGAGTTACTATAAAACCAACACCCTCAAAATGGTCTCAAATTGCTATTAAAGGAGTGCTCTGTACCATTGAATATACACATTATTCATGAGGAACAGCAGAGGGGTCATCAGTAGGTAATTATTAACTGGCTGCTCATGGCTTGGATGAGCATTCTCTTCACTGGGTGAAAAACTGGCTGGATGGCTGGGCCCAAGGGGTTGTGGTGAATGGAATTAAATCCAGTTGGAGGCTGGTCACAAATGGTGTTCCCCAGGGCTCAGTACTGGGGAGTGTTCTGTTTAACATCTATATCACTGATCTGGACGAGGGGATCAAGTGCAACCTCAGTAAGTGGTGACTTCCCTCGAAGGGGGCTCTCTGAGCAGGACATCTTTCTCACCCGAGGCACCCTGCCAGGAAAACTCCAGGGAGTCTTGAAAAACAGAGCCAGCCTTTCTGCCTTTCCTTCTATATCTTCTCCTCCTCTCCTAAACTTGAGCTTCTGGGACAGATCAGCCCTCTCTCTATAAAGATGTATAATTTTACCTTGGTGGATGGCCAGTTACTTTTCACTCCCTGTTTTCCTGCTCTTCACCCAGCCCCATCCCAGATAAGAAGTGCTTGTCCCTTTCTGCCTTTCTGTGAAAACGTGTTTACTTCTGATATCATTTGATTAACAGCCTGCCACACAAGAGTGCTTACCTTATTTTCTTTGTAATAATTGTTCCTATCTTTGTAATAATCTTTTGTAACACGTGACCACAGCCAGGCTGCAGAGATGTGAAAGAGTCTGACATTCACTGGCTCACGTGGCTGCTGTAGGACGTAGAGGAGAAGGGGAAATGCTAATGGTGAGTGAGGGATGGACTTCAGTTCAGAGGTGTTTGCTGAGATGGCAGAGTTCACCTCTAGCCTGGAGCTTCTGTTGGTTTGAGAAAACCCCATCCCCTTCTAAAGTTTTGGCGAAAGAGGAGGGCTTTTCTCTTACTTGTATGTAATTCAGAAGAATCTTTTGCCTAGACCCTAAAGCAAGAACAACCTTCACCTCTTACCAGCTTCTCACCATGTCCCTTTTTCTCTTTGTTGCTTCTTTTAGCTCCACTGCTGTCGTCACTGAAAAGCCTCCTGAATGCTTGTACCGTGGGGAAGAGTTCACACAGCTAAGAAATGAGGTGCTCTCTTGGCAGCAGGTGCTGTTTAAAGCAGGGGTTAATGTGCTCTTCTGGCCTCAGATGAACCCAGTTTCAGAGCACCCCCGTGTCCCAGCTGTCCTTTTCCACCCTGTTAAACATTATCCCTGCTTTGTGTCTGCCGGCATAACTGCAGGTTGGAGGTGCTCCCTAACCCAATTCTGTCACAGTAATCTGGGTCAGCCTCAACACTTCCAGTACTACGTTTATTTTTGTAGTGCTCATCACTTCAACAGTTGGGTTAGAGAACCCTTTCATGTGCAATTATGCTGACAAAATTGGGGAAGTGAGCTCCAGGGGGGTGCTGAGCAGAGCAGCACAGGGGTGCCATGGGCAGGACAGCAGTGATCATTCCCTGAAGCACACAGTAAACAAACATGGGGAGGGACAGCCCACATCAGTTTTTTGGTGTCTTGAGACTTTTGTCTTCACCTGGTAACGAGAGTAGGTGGGAAGTTTACAGATTTAGAATTTCATTCCCACGTTCCTGATGCACTGGCATGATAAGAAAAGAGAAGTTTCTTAGCTAAACTCTCTCCACCTTGGCATGGCTGTCTGTCTTCTCCAGGTGAACTTACCAATTTGGGACTCTGCCTTGCCAAGGAGCCTTGTAGGGTGCAGGTATCAAGCTACAAAAGATTTCCTGAAGCAAAGGGCTTTATGGTTTCTCAGGTATGCCTTCACTCTGAAAACATGCATGGGCATCAAAACAGTGCAAAAGCTGATGAGGTCAACCTCCATGGAACCAGCATAGTAGCAGATGGAATTTGCTGAGGAATGTAATCATTGGCAAATGCTAGGATTTTTTATTTAATATCAAACAGGAGAAAGCTACAAAGTTTGGAGCTGAGTGAAGTTTAGTAGAGGAGCAGGGAGTAACTGTGCATATCACAGGTTTTGGTTCATCTCCTCTTGATATTTAACTGTTGGCAAAAGGCACCAGTGAAAGAAAGAAAAGAAATCATCCGGACACTTTGTTTTATTATTAGCTAAGTTTGATATTTTGCTAGCTGCTCTTCTTCTAACCCTTCCTGCCTCTATTTCCATCCTTCATTTCACTGAGATTATTCGATATGCTAGCGCTGTTTCTCTACAAAAAAGCCAACTACAAAATCTTCAGACATTTGCCCCTGGAAAAGAAGTATGCTGTAAGTAATATACAGGAGTAAGAGCCTCATGAGGATCTGAGTCCAAGCAGATGTCACTAACTTGGAACTCAATATAACACTGCTAATACCTCTGAAAACAAACCAGTTCTGGCGGTCCCGGCCCCTGTCACCTCTTCAGTAATATCTGATCATGGGAGCAGGGTTGGCAATTCAAGGAAAGCTGTCCTTTCCCCCCTGAGAAGCTGGCACACAGGAGAGCGTACGCTGCCAGCTCAGTGTCGAACTGTTATGACACCGGAGTCGCTACCCATTTCACACACAGTTGGAAGCAGCTTTTACATGACTTCCACCTCCTCAGGCTTTTCAACCTCTCTCTTCAGCCTCTCCCTTTATTAAACGTAATGAAAGCCAATGGTATCTTGGGTTGTATAGGGAAGAGTGTAGCCAGCAGGTCAAGGGAAGTCATTCTCCCCCTCTACTCTGCACTGGTGAGGCCACAACTGGAGTACTGTGTCCAGTTCTGGGCTCCCCAGTTCAAGAGGGACAGGGAACTATTAGAAAGAGTCCAGCGTAGGGCTACAAAGATGATTCAAGGATTGGAGCATCTCCCTTATGAGGAGAGACTGAGAGAGCTGGGACTCTTTAGTCTGGAGAAGAGAAGGCTGAGGGGAGACCTTGCTTGCCTGGGCCCGTTCACCTCCTGAGTGAAAATGGGTTTGTGGCTGCGGGTGCAATATACATTTATTGAACCATCTACATAGATACCTGCGGTCGCTTTTTCAATTCAGCCTTAACTAACTCCACGTAGTGGTGGAAATGAAGCAGCCAGTGTAAATAAATAGATGTTTTGTGCCTGTGGTTTAGATCACTTAAGCTGTCTTTTACAGCTGAGGTAGACAGTTAGGAACTGACTGCGGCAGAAAGTCGTCCCAGCTACTTGCACCGCAGCACACAGACAGCTCCAGAGTAACGATGTCCACTGAGGACAGTGCCTGAGTAGTTATATGAGTTTAGCTTCACACTTTGGTTTATAGCAATGTGATTTTGCTGTAGAGCCAAGCTTTTAAATATTAAAGTGAATTTATTGTCAGATTTATATCTGTATTTAATATGCATGCACGCACCTATTTATACCCTACGGGGTGATTGTGTACCCATGTGGTAAACTGCCAAAGCAGGTGCTAAATTGTACTTAATCCAGCTTTTGTCTTTGATCACCTCAGTCCTTGGCCTTGGTTGCTTAAGACTTTTCCTTGAGAAGAATGTCTTGGTTGCAGATTCTCCTGGGATTATGTGGAGATCTCAGCTCCAATTTCAAAAAGTTTATCTATTTGTAAATGAGAACATCTATCAGATTTCATACCTCAGCCAATTTACTTTAAGCTTCTCCAAATTGACCAACAGCAAAAAAATTTCCTTTTCAAATACAAAATCCTGCTTCCACTCAAAAATCAACCAACCAATCAATCAATTAGTCTGCCAGCTGGTTTTGCTACATGTACAATATTCAGTCCCTCACACAGTGGCAGTTGTAAGAAACAAATATCAATATACATCATTATGAGTGCTTGAAAAGAAGGCTTTCTGCTACAGGATGGCTGAGAAATCCTCCTTTCCAGAGGAATACAGCGAGTGTTTCCAACCATGGCAGGTTGGAAATACAAGATTTTAAAATCATGACACTGACTGACAGGACTGCTGTTTTCAGGAGTTGCTTAGACATTTTAAAACACACCATTTATATTTATTTTCCCTCCTAGGTCTCTGCGAAGGCAAATTAGCAGCATAGGTAGAGGGATTAAGAAAGCAGACGTTAATAAAGTCTGAGTTAGGGTTTGTGTCTGTAAATCCTTTGGCATAAACAAGAGACAGTGGTGTGGCACAGTAAAAATCCAAGTGTCAGTCATGCCAGGGTGACTAATACAACTCACTTGTGGTCTCA